CTTGACTTAGGACTAACACACCAAGGAATAAATGAGAATGTTTGGAAAGAACACCTTGTTCCTGGATTGCAAGAAGTAGTATAGATGAGTACAGAGAAAGGAACCCTCAGCATTTCACAGTGAAGTTCTTTGTAAGACCTGACATCATGAGATGGGACCGCGACCAACGCCGGTGCTGCACAAAGGATGGTCTAGCTGGACATTTTCCACGCCATTGAGACAGACTGGCTTCCCTGGAGGATCCAAGATGCTAAGGAAACTTTCAACACATCAGAAAAGACAGTTCTATAGGATGCGTTCTCCTCTCCCAGCCAATACACTTCACTGACAAACTCAAACAAGGAAGGTTTGCAAAGTCTAATGGTAGATTTTTCTTTTAAAGGGCAACTAAAATGAGGCAGTATCTCTAAGCCTACTCCGGGCCTGGCTTGACTAGCCTGGTTATCAGATGTGCATCATTCACTACACTTCTCTTCTGAGACAGCTTGGGTGCATCTACACATGAAATTAAGGTGAAGCAATAAACTCAGGAGCTGTTTGAGCCAGAGTAAACTGCTCCCAGACACAGCATCTACAAGTGCACCTGGGACAGCAACAATTTGAGCCAGACTAGATCAGGCCCAGGCTGGCAGAGGGCATGGGAGGTCAGCCCTGGGCTCCAGGGGGTGGCACCAGATGGCAGAGGGGTGGGATGGGGCACAAGGGTCCTGAACCTGCATAACCACGTGGGTAGATGGCAGGCAGGAGTCTAGCCCCCACCCAGTCACCATCTGCATGCGTTTCAGTGCAGTTAATTACTCCACTGTAAGATAGTACTGCTAATTAGTCTAGTCCATAGTAAAGCACACGTGTAGATGTACCCCTTGTGACCATCTGTCCTCTATCTAACCGACAGCCATTATCAGTCCAGAGTTAATATAAACACCGTATAATTATTTCCAACAGTGAATACGCAGATTGCTTGACTCTGACTAACAAGCCCTCTGATCCAGAATATTAACACTCAATGTGAAAGGTTGCAAAGATGTCTCTCAGCATCTCCCTTTTCATAGCAAATACAGTAAAAGCCATGACAACTTGAATGCAAGGGAGAAGGGAAACTAAAACAAAAATAAACAAACACTGAAAGGAAGGGAATACTACTTGAAAATCCCTTTGCAGTCTTTTTCCTTCTTCAGGCCTAGTCCTGATCACTTTGAGAGCATTGGACATTTTTTTGAGTCAATAGCACTGAACCCTTGTCATCTTTTTCCCACTCCACCCACTGCCGGCAAGCCGAGTTCCTGGCCACTCAGAAACTGTCATATGTGGGTGTTATTGGCTGTCTACTTTGGCAGCTTTTCAGTCTCTCTCAGTTCTGTTTTGACATACAACCAGACCAAATCCTGCTCTTGTTCACATGATTAGCCTCATTGATTACAATAGGCCTATTTGCAAAAGTAAAGCAAACACACACTTTGGCTTATTCACTGCAATAACGTGAGGTAGAGCCTTGCTGGAATACAAAAGGAAGAAGTGAAGGGAAGAAGAAAAAGGGGATTGGAGAAGAACAGGAATAACAGTGGGATAGACAGGATCAAATAGGACTAAGGGTTTGTTTTGAGGGTTTGTTTTTTATAAATTCTTTCGTAAGGTAAATTTTAATATTTGATTAATTATATTAATAAAAGCATTTAAGAAAACCTGAAAAGGATAACCATGAACCATGTCCCAGGCTAATACACTTGAAACTTTGAGCCTCAACTCTGATGCTGAGATGACTTCTTCCACCGTAGATTTTATTTTAGCTGGAACAATGGTGATTTTTGAAGTAGCTTTGTATGATTATAATGTTTCATTATCCTTGAAAAAGTCTGTATCCCTCTAGAGCCTACCCCTCCTCACTTGTAATAATAGTAAGCTCTAACCTGTAATATGGGCAAAGAGTAATTTTCCTGTGGATTTATGTAGGTCTGTTTCACATTTTCTAAGATGTATTACATAATGTTCTAATACACTAATTACCAGCTCATGTCAGCAATTTTATTAAAAGCTTATGCTTACACATACCCATTCTGAAGGGATTTCAGGACTTTTGCAAATTTCTCTAAACTAGGCTTGTTGAACCAAAAGCAACAATGTTTGATGCTGCATAAAGCTGCTTCCAGTAATGCAGAATCATTACGCAAGCTCTCTCATGTACTCAAAAAAAAAAGAAAAAAAAGGCACGGATTCTTCTTGCGCTTGGTCTCAAAGACTTGTAAACAAGTTACTTTTAGCACACTATGTTGTGATAAAATACTGGTAACACAGCCCTATAAAATTATTCCACCCAATATAATTCCAATTCCAGACTCAATTCCAAGAGAAATAAAATTTTCCATTACTTGATTTCAAGGAAATTCTTCAGCATTTTGTAGTTATTGTTTGCTAAATAACATGGTGTTATCATGCTGACCTCCCAGACTTGGTACCACAAGGTATTTTTCCATATAAAATTGATAATGCCAAAAGGATTGTCAAAAGAGGGTTGTCACCATTAAAAGGTTTATGATTTAAGAAATATAAATACTCCAATATCAGAGTGTAATTACTAACCACAAGTAGAATCCTGGTACAAATCCATATATACAAAAGGACACAAAACCTTTTAAACATAATTTATATACATTTATGGCTTTATACAACAGCAAAGGATTGTTCTTGTGTCTGCAAGTACATCAGGCACTTCTCTGAAAATATCCACATATGAACTTTAATTCTGCAATGTTACTGAGTAAGAGCAGTGAAACACTGAAGTACTGTTTCACCACCCACAAGTAAAACTAGCAGTATGTACATGCCAATTTCTGGTGATATTGCTGGTTTGTGGAACACCCTCAAAAAGGAGGCCAGTTTTAATGCCAACTTATTTTTCTCTTTGTTTGCATAAACCACACTGCATGTTTACATCATGATTACAAAAAACACGAGAATATCTTATTTAAAAATCAGTCATAAATTAAGAATCCTAGAAATTTCATAATGAAAATATGACCTTCAAATCAGTAAAAAAATAAAAAAGTACTAACATATATCCAGTGGTTTAACAAGTGCAAATTTTATACTGTTTTCTAATTGGTCCAATTTTAAGTTCTCTCCTCTTCTTAGGGATGCTCTGTTGACTTGAAAGTCAATAATAAGCAGTACAAACTTTTGCTTATAAACATAGGCAATTTGTCAGTTTATCAAAGCAGAGCTTTCCAATTAATGCAAAACTACCTAAACATATATAACTGTATTATGGAAACAATACATCTTTATATTTAAAATATTTGAACAGCTCTATAATACAATATACTTTTAATAACAGTACAAACCAGAGAAAAAAGTCAAAAACAAGGCTGCATAGGTAAGATCATTTGCACGATTCACAAAGCGTTCATTTACAACAATTCTGACAAAGTTATTCTAGAAATTTGGTACTTCTACTGAAAAGAATTTATTACTAGAGGTCACATAATGTTTGCTTTGGAGACAGACAACACACCCTTCATTAGATTTCACAGTATCCTACAATTGCATGCACAACGTTAGAAGTTCAATACACATAATCAAAAGAATCCAACCATGCAAAGCCAAAACTTCTACCATCTACAGTTCTCTTTTCTGAGGATGATTAAGCATCAAGCATGGCTTCCTGCAGTCAACTTTAATTAAATTGCTACATTTAAACTCAATAATTATGAAGGAAAAAAGAAAATATTTTGTATACAGGGAAGTGACACAGTAGCAATAAAAATAACAGGATTATGTTATTATTTTAAAATGTAGCATGTTCAGCTGCAGTGCCAAAGGATGAAATCCCAACGGTTTTCTTTTTGCGCACATGGAAGTAGCACATACAGGTGAACTGCATGGACTTCCTGCTTGACCTATACATGTCAATGCCATTGGTTAGCATAAACCTTGCACTTGCACCAGAAAGGAGGCTCTTTGAAAACCATACTCTAAGGCCTTGTCCAGACAACCATGGCTGTGCAGTACATGGCACTGCAGACATGTCTGCGGCATCATAGGGATATCCAGGGGTTAAAAAAAAATGCAAAAAAAAGTGGGCAGCACATGCTGGGGCAGTGCGCGCTGCTCAAAACCAGAGAGCCTGGCCAGCTGGAGCCATGGATTGCTGCTGCTGCAGTCCCAAGAGGCCCTCATGAACCCAGGTAAGGCTGCTGGGACTGGCCCAGTTCTCGCCCCAGCCTCCCCTTCCCCACCCAGGGTAACCTGCTACACCCCAGAGGGCACGTGGCACAGGCATTCCCCACGGACAACTAGCAGTGGCAAAAGGTGCACTGCTGCTAGTTGTCCCCAGGGAACCAAACATCCACACTTGTGTGGATGCAGCCTAAGAGCCTTCTGTTTGTTCCACAGCCAACAGTTGTGATCCAGTATCATTAATTTGATAGCAAAAATATTACTAGAGTTACTTGGCAACAGATGCAGGCTGTTTAAAGAGATTTTCCAATGTTGAACACCCCATGCTGCACAACCAAAGTTTAGAAAAGGATTCCACAGTGGGGTGCCCTGCAACATGTCACTATCTGACACAAATTTTAAGGACTGCTGACAACTGAAACAAGAAAACAGAAGAACACAGCTGTAATGAGAGGTGATTTGGGCCCAATACAAGGACAAATGAAAAAGCTACCCCAGAAAAGTTCCATGTTAAGTTTAAACATCCCACAAATGATTGTGAAGCATAACGGAAGAGACAAGAGATAAATCTGGATTGTAATCACTTTCCATTAGTGGGCCAGAAAAAAATTCATCCCCTCCCACCTCGCCAATAGCTTGGCCTATTTTCAAAACCATAAATACTATTAACACATAATGAAAATACTCAGTATTTTAATGCAAGGAATGTGCGATAACCAATGACAGACAATCAAGCTTAACACTCCACTCATGTCAAAAGCACAATTTACCTACATAAAAGCCAAAATTATTTACCAGCTGAAGGCCCAAACCTGTGAACTATCATCTGGATGTCACTGGGACTATTCATTGTGAATCAAGATATGCAGGACTGGAACTTGGGTAACTAGCACTATGTCTTACCTCCAAAATAAAATTATTTGTATTACTTTGCCTCCTAATCAACTCCCCTCCATCCTTTTTAGGCACATGGAAAAGAACAAATACATTTTTGTCCTGAAATGTCAGTCCCTCCTTTAAAAGAGCACTTGTATCCCTCCTTAGAACAGAAACGCTGACAGACAGGGCAACTACTGCTAAATGGAGATTCTCTTTCTAATTGTATTCAACTTGTAAACGTTCTTAAAGAAAAGGTCTTGCTTTCGAGTCCACAAACATTATGAGACCTCCATGAAATAAATACAACATGAAGCACTGTACAAGCATTTAAGAATGAATACTTAACACTTTGTGGTAGTCAGAGTTAAAATGGGAATAGAAGCAGATGAGGTTTCTAAAAATGCATATATATAAAAATGATTAAATATTTCCTAAACGTAAAAGGGAAAGTATCTATCTATACATCACTCTTGCCAAAAAAAGGGGTCAGAAATGCTGTCTTCAAGATACTTGTTAAGCTTTTCTTTATTAGCACTCCGAAGTGCTGGACAAATATATAAAATGTTTGCTTAATCTAGTTAAAACACTGTACAAAATGAAGAGGTTACATATGCTGCCAGATCTCCAATTCTGTCAATTTTAAAGTAGATTATGTAACAAAGTAGACTTTAAGTATAATAAAAAATAGTTTGATAACTATTCCAAAAGTTCTCAAGTCCAACAATAAATTCATTAGTCTGAAAACTAGATCCAGAGATAATCTTGTATAAATTTACAGACAGATAGGTATCCTACCAAATTGGAATTTAATCTACTGTTTGTTTTGACCATTTGACTAGTCAGTGAGTTCAGCTGGACCATATTTAAGAGACTCCTCTGTTCTCATAAGAGAAACTGTGCAGCAGTTTTAATAAACGTAAGGCAGTTCATACAGCTGCAAAACAATCCCCTTGCTTCATCAGTTCATCAGAACACAGGTAACATCAGCACAAGTTAAAACTTACTTATAGGGCATGAGATCATCACAGTATTGTTACAAAAAGTTTACAATTTTTTCTGGACCAAATGGATATTCTTAAAAAAACAAGTCTGCATCTACAGCTCATACTGTACAAAACTGAAAGTACAATATGATGCAAAAGTATTTTCTGTGATTATATGGTGTAGTGAATTTGGCACTTCAGAGTAATGACATTTCCAATGGCACAGTTCTTATCTACAGCAGCACATAACCTGCAAACACTGGGCAAACATCCTGTACAGGAAAACTCTCTCTGCTGCCAACTCTGACGCAAGGAAAGAGAGAGAACAGTTTTATCAAGAAAACTAAAGGGAAGGTGAAGGACATCTTTGGACTGCTTTTCTCAGTTCCTGCTGTCAGACAAGGCTGAAGAACTTTACATTGTAGCCTAGAAAAATAGGAAGAAAAAACAAAACAAAACACACAATTAAATAAAACCCACATTAAATAAAATTACAATATGGACTAGCCAAGAGAGGATATTTTACTACTTTAATACATATTAAGCATACATTTTCAGATATTATGGCAAAACTCTAACTGTCCAGCTAAATACTAGGAAATGGTATGAGAAATCATCACCACATAAGCCTAAATCTAATGTTATTTACATCCAATCAAAAGACTCACAAGTTAGAAAACATAAATGGTGTTCGATGAACGTCACATAATACATTGGAAACAATGAACAATTTTGAAAGGCTGCTGTAAAGAAACGATAGAAAAACTGCTCTCCCTTGCCACAGAAGGCAGGACAGAAAGCAATAAGTTTGAACTGGAGCAAAGCAGAATTAAATTAAATACAAGAAAGAAACAAAAAACTTCCTGGCTGAACAGTAAGCCAGTGGAACAAGCTGCCTAGGGCAACTGTGGAAGGTTTTTCACTGGAGGTTTTCAAGAAGAGGCTAGACAGGCATTTGGCCTGGGATAATACAAAAACAGCACATCCTGTATCTGTGCAGGGGGTTGGAGTTAGGTGACCTTTGTAGTCCCTTCCAGCTTTAAAATTCCAAACTTATCAAAACACTTATTCTTTAAACTGATTTTCAGGTTACACACACACACACACACACACACACACACACACTCAGGTTACACACACACACTCAGGTTACACACACACACACAATTTATAAAGTTCTTGTGCAACTTTAAACTTTAATAACTTTGGATGTACACTTGATAGAAGCAAACTGCAAATGGTGACTGAAAGCATAATTCATTAAGTTTTAACACAATACAACTCAAATTTATAGACTTCAACATAACCACCCTCTTTCACGATACACTGTTCAATCTGATTTCCCAACTTGTAGAAAATACTTTCCGGTTGCTGCTGAGTGATTTCATGAATTGCATTTGTGATCTTTACCCTATGCATAGCTTACACTATTAAAAAACGTAACAAATTATGCTTTTAGTTGCCATTTACAGTTTGCTTCTATCATCTGTATATCCAAAGTTATTACAGTTTGAAGTTGCATAAGGACTTTATAAACACCCTATATATATGCACATCCACCCACTCACCCACATACCACGAGAACTTACCTTCCATTAAATCCTAGCCTGACACCCAACTATGTGTGGTTGTCTTTACACTGTGTGGAAAACTTTGGTTAGGTAACACACTGTCAAAGTTAAAATCTAGAGTTTCTCCATCCATAAGGTCATTACGAATAATTGACTCCATGTCACAGTCCAACCGTTCAATTAACATGTCATCTAAGTCACTTGGGAGCTTCTCCTGATGGAGAGAAACAATTCCCACTCTTCCATAGCCATTACAGCTGTTAACAGGAGCATAAGGGTTCATAGTATTCATCTGCATTGGGTGACTCATAGGCACTTGTAATGAAGTTTTCACCGTGGACAGGCGATTTAAACCTGAAGTATGTGACATGCTGTTCACGGTATGTGACAAGGCACGGCCATTGACTGCAGGTGTTGGCTGGTTATGTCCTTGGTGTGGGCGGGCATTGGGAGTCATCATTTTGTTGTGTGATGGCTGATTACCATACGTTGGCATCACTGAATTAGAGACCATCAGCACATTTTGGCCCAATACTCTACCACCGGGCTGAGGAACACCAGTATCTACTGATGTCAAGATGTCATTGTGGGTAGGAGAATCAGAAGTCAGTAACTCTTTCAGGAGTCCTGGAGAAGAACAGTTATACTGGCTGATTGGTCCATAGCCTGATTTACTGTCTTGAAGAGTCTGCAAAGGCATCTGGGGCAAAGAGTTCATGCTAGCTTGAACATATGTAAATTTTCTGTAGTCTGGATTTGGTGAACCTATACTCGTGGTTGATGATGTAAATGAATAACCTGGTGCTTGTTGCATCATTGTAGCAGGTGAAGACTGAGTTGATACAGTCATTGGTGTATTAGGTGACAAGAGATTGAGGTTATCCAAGAGATTCTCCATATTTTCAGAATTACTCATTTCTGAAAGGCTGGGGAGAGTAGAAGCCATTTTGGTTGCTGATGGAGGGTATGACATAGGGTGTACATCCCCATCTCCAAGATCGTCCTGTTCTGGCAAAATTGGAGAAAGTCTTCCACTAATTGTACTAGCATTAGAGCTAGTTCTAGGCCTAAATGTATTCCAGTTATCAAAGTCATCGTTACTGTGAGAGCTGGGGCTTGCAGGCCACTTTGAAAATTGTGACCCTGGGCTGTCGCCATTTCCTTCCTGGCCTGATTGAAGGGCTGCTTTTTTCTTGGCAGCTCTACCTCTGCTTTTTGCAAACTTGCTGTTGTTATCCATGGATGCTGCTCTTCTCCGTGGAGACTTTCCACTCTTTCCTCCTTCTGGGTTAAGCATCCACCAAGAACTTTTTCCTGTTCCCTCATTTTGCACTCTAATAAACTTGCTGTGCAGGGACAGATTGTGACGGATTGAGTTCTGAAAAAATAAAATAAGGCATGAGCAAAGCCAGTTCTCCATCTCCTCTTCTACCACATAGCATTTAATGAATGAGTCACTCTGATGCTACTCAAAAACACGACTGAATACTGTACAAAACTTAGTTTCTAAACACTGAACTTCTGCCTGCTAAACACATACATCAATATATCCATACACCAGTATATATCCAATATTGTACCTTCATATATACACACACACACACACAAACAAATGTGTATAAAAAAGTGTGAATGCATGTATATATAAACTGCATGACACCATGAGAGAGATATACATATATTTGTGTGGGTATGTTCACACATGCAAATATATATCATATTTAATGTGATACAGGTTTCAGAAGGTCTTGTACAATCAAATCCCTTTGTAGAATCATAGTGGTGCTCCTGTTGTTGAAGAGGCCTTTTAGCAGGTTCTGCTAGAAATCTGTATTTGTGCGTTTTAACTCCTCCATAGGAGCGTCTTGCGTTTTTCAAGCTTTCTTTTTTTACCCTCCTAAAGCTATGGTGCATGCATGATACCCTCCCCACAATACATACACCATAGCTTCAGAAGGATAAAAAACAATGTTTGAAAAGTTGTACCTGTGATAAAAATACATATTAACACAGCAAAAGTTTGTTCACTGAGCCAACAATCCATCCTTTATAAAAATACCTACATAAAGTGCTCGTGTGTGGCCCAGGAACAAAAACCCATTTTTTGTAAGATTCTGCTCTTAGATTTCTTTTTTTTAAAAAGGGCTCAGGAAAAAAACCACACACAACAGTACTGACACACAAAATTGCTAGCTGATCCAGATTTGATTATTATCAAGCTCTATAGGCAGGATATTACTAAAACAGCTAAAACAAGAAATTATCCAAAGGATTTAGCAATGGAAGTCCCAACCCTACAACACTTGCACATAAGTAGCTTCTCTCAAACTTCCCAACAAACTAAATACTACTACTCGCATGCATAAAAAAAATAAATGTATGCACAAGTAATCTCAAAATCAGAGCTTATGCAAAGAAGCAGAAAAGCTGGATGACTGCAAAGAAAAAGGGCCTACTGATTGAACTCAAGAATCGTGTTGAAATCACAAATTTATGAATAAAAGAATAAATGAACATGAAAATAATGGACCAAAAATTGTTGTATAAGTAATTATGCCTAAGTAATAAAAAATATGATGGGGTGGAGGGGAGGAAATTTCTTGGCTTACTCAAGCCTATCACCCCTGTTTGGATTCTTAAAAGGAAAACTTTGAAAAACAAATGGCAGTCTGGGGAATTCCTTCAGAAAAGGCTGACACACTTGTTTCAGTCCAGAGACTCCTGTTCACTGACAAGGATCATCATGGCACCCAGAACTTAGAACATCACTGGGATGCCTGACCATCACCATCAGCTAGCAAAATCCTATCGTCTTCCCTTCCCCCCTTTGCGTTCCTACCCATTGCCTACTATCTTCCTCCAATTCGCTCTCTGTTAGTGTTTTTATCTGATCCTGAAACCAGATGCACCACATAGCACCAGAACAATGGGAAAAGATTATCCATCCATTCAGGCCACCTGAAAAGTACCATGGGAACAGACAGACCTGTGGAGATCACCCAGATGTCTCAGGCTCAGTAAGCGACAGCTTGGAACAGCAGCTGTTCCAGGGACTTGCTACCCCACAGAAATCCACCTATACCAGCTATCTCAAGTCCCAAGAACATTAAAAAAAAAAAGAAAGTTTTCCTATACTTTATCTCTTCTTTCTCCTTTTTCAGTAACTGATTTTCCTAAGGCAGAAAAAGCAATCAGGACCCACAGGGTGAGACCCCAAATTCAACTATTTCTTCCCTACTAAGAACCAACTCTTATCAATATCTTCTCTGAAAAAAGGACTTTAATTTATTTCAGGTTGTTTTGCATAAGCAGTATCAATTTCAAATTGTTCTTGTCCATTTCACTCTCTCCCAGCCATCCTAAAGGAAATCAATTTTCTAATGTCTGTCAAAGGGCTAAGCAGGCCCAGGTGCTGTACTCAAAAATAAGCCATGATAAAGTTCCTTGTTGTACAGTGACAGGGTCATGTTAACAGCTTCTGCATTCTGAGTCACTTTGCACACACTACTGCATCTGAATCCCATCTCCCAGCTCTGGTCAGAGACTTTGTAAATGGCAAGAGGGTATCACTAAACATTTATTCTCAAAACATCAAATCCTGCGAACTACCACCTTCTGTGTGTTCTCCACAGCTACTCTGTCCTACAACATACAGATCTTAACACCTAATATCTTCTACCCACCACACTTAATATTTTATCTTCTATTTTACAGCTAATGAGACCTGAATGTCATCTTATGGCTGCACTAGAAGTTCACCATTATCCTTCCATCAAGGCTGAGTGCGCTGCTTTTGAAGCAATCTTGGCAAGCATTAGTTCAGCGTCAAGAGAATAAACTCAGAAAATTCAACGTGAACCTTCCATATGATAACAAAAAGGGCCTCAGCAGCCACTCCAAGTATCTGGATAGTCTAGAAAACCTAAACTTAACCCTTCATTTTCAGGTGGAGGGTGGGGGAAGAAGTTGCAGAATTAAAGGCTAATATCAGTCCAGACTTAGAAATGTCACAAGAAAATTGTCCTGTAAGCCTGTTGATTAAAAAAAAGATTGCATACACCAGTTCTTTGTTATTGTATTTTGTAAATATACTCTGTTGGCACAGATTTAGTGTTTACTATCAAAATAAGACTCAGACACATGAGCGCACACATACCACTAGGCAACACTAAAAGCACACAAGCATTCTGGTCCCTCTTCCCAGAAAAGTGTAAAATGTTTTAAAAAATTACTGAAATTCCTTAGTCATCAAAAATATAATCTTGTATTATTGTACTGAGGACATCTGAGGTCGCTCTTGGAGTAACAGAGCTGTCTCTTAACTTTGCCAACAGCAAAAAAAAATTTTCCTAACAGGAAAAGGTTTGTGGCCCAGAGCTTGTTACATAAATTCCTGTTTTTCACACAGCCAGCAGGACATTAAAGGAGCTATGATTTACTAACTTGGAAAAAAAGTGTTGAAGAGGTAAATCTTGTGAAAATATGCACTGCTGTTAATGATGTTGTGTCTACAAATCTTTGCCAGACACAAACATGACCTGATAAAAGGTATAGTTTCAGCAGTGGAACTTGACAGCAGGATGAGTAAGTGTGGTTCAGAGGCATTCATTTTGAACCATCAGCTACAGCCCTGCCTATAGCTTTTGCGCTGCAGGTCGTTTAAGAACTGGGGTTTTTAACAATGTAATTTGAAGTACAGCCTTGGAACTTGATTTGAAATACATGAACAGCAACAAACTGCATCTACACTGACATTACATGCACAAGCAGAGTGTGCCAGTTAAATTTCAAAGCATACATGCTGGAATTTTATCAAAAACTAATTACAATTACAGTAGAACTGCTGCCACCTGTGGGGTGTTCCTTGGGATTGATTGTACTACTGACAGAAAGTGATTGAAGTCTTATTCCTATTTGTTCTTTGCAAGAAACAGGCTTATTTTATTTTAATAGAAAAATCGTGCATTGATAAGTATGCTTGCCATTACTTGATAGTTGAGAGTCCAACCACTAAGCCAAAAATATTTTTTTAATGAGCAAATAACTAAGACTAATAATATTTAAGAGTACCCATGAAAGATGGTTGTTTCTGTCAACGTACTTCAGTCTTTCACCTGCCTTTTACACTATTTCCTAAAGCATAACTACACAAAAAGAAATACAACTTAGTGTGGATTTTTCCTCTAAAGAATAATTTTATTTTACATACATTCAAAACATTTCCCTTCAGCTAATTTAAAAATGAAACGATAAAAAAAATTCAACACCCCCTTGATCTGTTTTACAAGCAACACAGCTGCTGGTGCTTGTATTTAAACCAAGGCTTTGTAATGTATTAAACAAGAAGCCTAAAATTAAGCTAGCTAATGCCTGAAAACTGTATCTAACTTATACATCAAGATTTCTCTACAGGAACAGTATATGAAGTGAACTAAAGATTTCATGCCGTTTAAAACCAAATCATTCTCCAGAGTTAAAAAGAAAAATAATCTAAAACACACTTGCATTGTACAGCATTAGAACTGTACTTTTTAAGTTTGTCAATAGTTAAGAGAAATAGTTACATACACAAGTAGGTGGCCTTTTTTTTCCCTCCATACCAAAAGATAAGACTGGGAAGCAGAAAATAACAGTTACATCTCTTTGCGATAACTGCAGTTCTCCAAAATGCTGCACTTAGTTCCCCTGATGGCGCAGTTGGTACTGAACAGCCATTTAGTACTTGCTAAAGAACCTGTGTGTGTAAAGACTGATTTAATTTTCATTATAATAATAATTGGTATTTATGGAGTTAAAATATAAAACGTACGCTGGCATGAGTACACTGGAAGTTGGTATGCAATAAGAAAAAGTTTGTGAACCTCTGATCTATACCAATGGTTTTTCCCAAATCTGAAGAACAGAAGCTTCATGGATCAGTTCCCAGAGATGAAGCTTTGAAGCATCCCTTAACTTCCAAGTTTCTGAAAAGAAGAGGCAATATTGAGCATCTACTGCTTTCATACCCATTGGTGAACAGGTCATTTTCAACCCTATTGTTCAGTAGACAAGCTACAGTGCAATAGTGGCAGTCTCACAGTTAATGCCTGCCAATGCTACAGCAACAGTGTCTCACGTAGATGCGCCCCGTATAGTGTACATTTATCTCAGGTCCCCAAGACTGGACTCTCTTGATGGACATTACCATTTGTGTGTCCTGAGCCTCCTTTACATTGTCTTACAAAGATGTAAAGAGCAGGATTTCCACATTCATCCTTCAACTGCCCTGCAATTCAAAGCCTGCATTACTGAAAACTCCAAAAAGCAGAGACAGAAGGCATGTCATGGAATCAAAACTCAGTGGATTGCTCAAAACTGTCACTTTTCATATCTTGGTGTATTTTGTGTCTCTAATGAGAGTCAGGAACATGAATAGGTTGCACTCAAGTGAGTGCT